TTTAGGAAATTTCGAAGGCGATTTAGTAACGCGTCGACAATGGAATAACTTAGTGGTCGTAAGAAATTCGTTGAGAAAAAACCAAAACAAAAACATAAATAAATTTAAGAAAAAATACGATCAAGGCTTTCGTTTCGAGTACTACACACGTCTGCATTACAAGTGGATTAGAGATGGTAATGATGGCTTTTAATATGATATATTTATAAACCGAGCCTTTGGTCGTTGCAGAAGGCGCGTTTTTTTTTTTAATTTATTTCATTCTTCCATCTAATTCATCTTCTCCGGCAAGTGAAAAGCGGATTTGGTAAAAGTAAAACTGAAATCGCGAATGTGAGATGGAGATGCGGTTACTTAAGTGGCCAATTGAATCCTCGACCAGATGGTTCGTTCGCTTAGGAATTAATTGCCGGCGTTTAAATTGAATGACTCGAATGCTGTTTGCGCGTATGTGTGTCTTCTGCAGAGCAGCAGATTAGATTCTAGGGCGAATCTCCATCCTTCGACTACTTCGGCTTCCCATGTTTCGACTAAAATATATGGTCTTTCTGAGGTCAATGGTTCGATTTTCCAGATTTTACATCGATTCAGTGAGTTTTATAAAGAAATGTAATGTTATCTCACCGACACTTAATGATTAAAACTCTAAAATAAATTTGATAAAAAGTAGGTTTCAGTATCAATTACAATTATAAAATACGTGTAATGTAAGATGTATACATCTCGATACAATTTAATGTTGCATTCACACCATACGTACTTATATGTCAGATTAAATCATTTTTACACACTGCAAAACTTAATATTTTGACACAAACTGTTTAGCACGTGATCCAAGATATATGTTTCTTTTGTACAGCGATCTAATTGTAACATAAGATTAAAATATACGGGAAATTGCCGTTGAGAACTATGAGTATTTCGCATTGTCATAAGGTGTCATTTTGAGACCACTAACAATGTAACAAGACCCATATGGAAGCATAATTTTCGAGTATCTCCTCCTTAAACATGAACTCAAAACAAAATTGAATTGGCTTAATTTATGTAACGTCAGTATGGACATTGCAATTTTCACCTTGAACTGTTTTGACTTGATTTCAGTTACAAACATGTTTATTTATAGATTCTTGTCAAATATTTTGTGTGAAATATTAAGTGCTAAATGAGATAATTTAAAACGTTCTGCTAAGATCAAAACATTTATACGTATGCAATAATTCAACAAAACTTTTTAGAGACGGTCAAATTATATTTAAAAAAATAAAGGTGATTCTTAAAATTTAGTTTTAAACTTAAATATGACATATGAACTAATACTAATAATAATTCAATCATTGAAAATATAAAGTATGAATATAATTTGAATGAATTATTTACGATGATTCTTAAATTTGGTTTCAAACTGAAATATGAAGTTAATGAAATTAATTAAAAACATGAAATATGAAATGTAAAAAAAATGTGTTGAAAAGATTCAATAATATTTGAAATAATTGTTTAAAGATATTGAACAAATTTTAGTTTGATTAATTTTGGTTTTAAACTTATGATATGTGAACTGAAATTTATGCGCTGACATAATAGTTACGTTTTAGTTGATCTAAGCTGGATAAGGAAAATTAGGTGAAGAGCTAAATGAAACCAAAACGAAATGGCCATGTACTTCTTCGAAATCTGTTCCATTCGACTTTCACTGGAATCCAATCATAATTTGGTGTGTCGTAGTAGTAGTAAGCCGTGTGAATTTCGTTGCGTTGTTTGCACACACACAGCATCTTCAGGACTATATTTTCATTCTATCATCTTCTTAAAATTATGTGTTTTTTCGTAGTCAGTGTTGTTGCTGGTATAATATAGAAATGTGAGCAAGTTTTCATTATCTTCAATTGGTTTGATTTGCAAGTAAAGTGGATGTGTTGGTTGCTTGCTCTGTTCGTGTATGTGTGTGTATAAGTATGGCCAGTGGCAAACTGCAATTTGTGTGGTAATATGTGCGTGTGTGCGGGCATCCAGGCCGGCCATGTTCCTCTCAGACTGTGAGAGTCTGCGAGACGTCGACTACAGTATCTATAGTATACTCGGTCGCCGTGCAGTCTGAGACTCTGGATTGGACGGCTCGACCTTGTGCTATTCACTACACATTATTAATACATGTACACACATACACACACGTACATAGCACAAACGCTGTTTTGTGTCGTCTCACTCTTGCTCAGAGGCAGCAACTAAAAATAAGTTACGTTGAGGCCCATTTTTAACAATAATATTTTCAAATGTTCTTCGTCCATTATTACTCGAACTAACCTCGGCATGCTTCCCAAATTATGTTGTTAACGCAAAAAATTGCACACTGAAAGTAGTCTTAAAATTAGTAAGCCTTGAACTAGAACTAGTTAATCTGCCCACATTTCCTGCATTTATCATTTTTTATAAAACGGACATTCGATAGAATAATACAAAAAAATATGTTAATCTCTAAGTTGATTCTATAAATTTATCGCCGAAGAATACTGTTCCTCCAAGCTACCGTAGTTTTCAGATCAAGACAAAAAAAATTAAGTAGAGAACATTTATCAACAAATATTGTAACTTATTAAATTACTTAAAAATATTTATGCATTAAAATATATTATTTAGTAAGCATTTAGTAAGTGTAGGAAAAATGTACGTTTTAGTATTATTATTACACGCTTTAAAGTAGAACAAGATTAAATCAAATTTAGATATAGCTAAGGTAAAGTAACGGCAACGCAGACTAATATCAGTGATTCTTAACCCAAAACTTACCGAAAAATATTAAACTTTTTTCACATAGGTATAATAATAAACAAAATCTATTCCCGAAAAAATATTAATGTAAAAAAAATAGCGAATCAATATTTTTATGTGGTTCATTCTGAATGAAAGAAATATTAATATTATTAATAAAAAAAATCTAATAAAATTTGATTATATAATTAAAATTATAAGTTTTGTGAATGTGAATTTTAAAACTTTAAAAAGAAATGAACTATTGAAGAAATGTATAAGTTTCTTGGATATTTTCCAATAAGATTAGATTTTCCTCTCATATTATTATTTATAAGATACTCCTTAATTCAACACACCTATAAAGATCAGTGATTTCCATACAAAACAATTCTTGTTGCAATAATATACATACCTACCTTCCTCAACGCATAATTCAAATTCACTGTATCGGCTGAAAAGGTTGGGTTCTCAATTGTGCATCTAATTAGAATTTCAATTTGTAGTTAAACAGCAATGTTTATTTGTTCTAAAACAGTATTTTAAAGTCCGGTTGATTGTGTGTTATTTAAATTGTTGTAGGAAATGCAAGATGATGATGATGATGACGCGAGTAAAGCGCTTTCGGGAGAGAACAGACAAATTTCTATTGCATCGTGAATCGATTTCACACACGACTGGATCTACGCTCGTGTTACTTAAATTTAAGTCACGAGAATCTAGGTTCCTGGTAGCGCGTGACATAATAAACTGTACCCATTTAGATTTAATTGTGTAACAATTAAAAGTGGAGACACCCTTGTAAGAATTAATTCTTGCTCACCAATGTAAAGAACGTTAATCGTCGGCGTTAATTTAAGAATCTTGGTAGAAAATTTGCCGCGTTTTTTTCCCAAGACTGCTTGTACCACTTCCACGTCACGACCAAGTACAACGTTGATACATAAAACGAGCATATTGGAAATGCCAAGTTAGTATTGCGAGCGGAACTAATCAAAGTGGTGAAGATCAGCTGGCTTTCGATTCATTTTATCTCCGTATAAACGCATCGAGCGGAAGTTAATTAGTTTTATTTTTCTTTATTTTAAATCGAAAGAAAAAGAAGTTGCGTTCTGTGGCCTATATGGATGTCCTCTAAAAATCGCACAGTGAGGCGCGTTTGAATGCCATTGAAAGTGAAACTCGGAAGTGAAATGTTTTTGTTCTGTCGCCGGGTAATTTGGCAAATGGTAAGTGGGTTGTCCCCAGTGGGGCTCTATTTTTACACACCGTAAGGTCGCTGTTGACGTGACCTTATCTGTCAAAATTACGATCACTTTTGCCAGATGTCAACTACCTTGACACTAGACCGAGCACTTCGACGGCTTTCACATATTTCTCGCCAATTTTTATTACTCATTTATTATTTATTCGTTCCTCTTCTGCAGTTCTACCATAGCTTGAGCTGTGAGAAGCAATATACATCTGCTACACTCTGGCATATATATTACGAGAACCGCTCGCTATTTCTAATTAGTGCTAAATAAAGACTCCAAGTAAATTATTTCTGGAACGTCGTCTGGGAGAAGAGCACCTGACCCAGGCCGCAAATTATGTGCTCGCTCATGCACCGATCCGACTGCCAAAAAATATACAAATTTACGCAAATTGCCTCCGTCTGTTTAAAACTTTTAAATGAAAAAAAAACAAGCACAAAAATCGTGAAAATCTTTTCATTTCATAATTTACTTTGAAATTCTGGATGTTATTATAAAATACATACTTTATTAATCCAAAAACTTTGTATAAATCATATTTATTATTCATTAGCTCACTATACTTTTCAACTACAGTAAATACATTTTAATGTAAATTGAAATCAAAGAAGCAGTGGCGGATTATCCATTGAGGTAATGAGGCACCTTTCTGATAGACCACAGGCTTTAGGAGGTCCCGAACATATAGTATTTAAAATAAAATATTTTTTGGGCTCCTCAAAATTTGCCTAGGGTATCCAAAAACCCTTAATTCGCCACTGGTCATGGATTAGATTATAGTTGAACTCAATACAGTGGAAATTATTGTACTACATGTTATTTATTGCCTATATTGCCTATAGTGTACCAATATTTCTAATATAATTCATGATTACTGTTTCAAAGAGTAAATAGTTACAGTGTATCAAACCTTTATTGTATATTACATTCAAAGTTGTGATTAAAAAATACAATACAAATATCTTTTTTGAAATATAATATATATGTTGATTGTTGAAAGTGATCTCGGTTCAAGTAGCTCTATGTAAGGTTGCATTAATCTGCTTCAAAATGGGATAGCTTTGTCCATGAAAACCTCGGAAATCGTCAGTGTCTATGGACCAGACCATTATCCCACCTAATGACTTGCTCATTGCGTATTCCACCTTCAATTTAATAGATTTGCAATTGTCATAGCCGATCCATTGATTGTGTTTGTGCAAGTATGGCACCATTTGCTCTTGGTCCCAAAACTGCGTCCAATTGCCTTCTTCAATTCTGTCCAAGATCTGAGACAATAAAAATATTTTGAACAATACGTTATTTTTGATGATTTTAACATACTTCGTAGTATCCCAACGTTCCTGGAGACTTTGTGAAAATGCCAGGACATCCATCTTCTTTGACAGCAGTACCTACACCATTATTGTACTCATTTGACAGCGTGTATGTTTTCCCATAAGCACCTACACCCAAAATGATTTTAAAATGGCAGAAGTCTGAACAAAAAACAATAGTTATAATTTAAACTGTAATTTAGAAGTCTTAACGTACGACGCAATTTTCCTTGTTGACACCATCCATGTGGGATGGGTATAGTGGAGCGTTCTGACCGGTAAATTTTTCATATGATCCGTGAAAGTCGTACGCCATCACGTTAATAAAATCCAAATATCTAAAGAATTTACTATAAGTCAATATAAAATTTTACATTATTTTATGTGTACTTATTTAGAGCAGGCCCAGCTAGTGGCCGAAACTGCTGCAGTCAACAAGTATTTCCTTCCAGTTCTATCGAAGTTTATCCTGAAGATCTTCAAGAGCTTAGAAAAGTTCTCCTAAGATTCAATTACAATAAAAAAAAAACTTTATAACTTTATATAGATAAATTTCACATGCCTTATCTCTGGAAGTTCCACCTCTCCTCACCGGGTATTCCCAGTCCAAATCGAAGCCATCAAAACCGTACTTCTCCATAAATGCAATTGCGTTATTTACGAATTTTTCAGTCATATGTTCGTTGGATGCGACGTAGCTGAATACCTCTGATCCTTCGTTCCATCCGCCGATTGCGACCAAAGTCTTCAACTCTGGATTACGAGACTTGAGATTGTTGAATTTTGCGATCGCGCCTAAGTTTATATCGTTCCATTCATCAATAATCTTTATAGTACCATCCCGGTTTAAACCAACAAATGAGTAAATTAAATGGGTGCAGAGATGAGGATTGATGAAATCTACGTCAAAATGACCTCTACCTTCTCTATATGTTGCCCAGCTGCCATAGTAACACACAACTTTACCTAAAATTCAAACACCAATAATTATATATTTATAATTATGAGGTTTTCGGATCAAATGATAAAACAATTCAAATATATTTAATATATTTCAATATATAGAAATTTATGCATTTGATGAATTAATGAATTGATTTTGAATATCTTACCACCGGACATTGCAATAAGTATTTGCTAAAATAATAAGAAGTATAAATCACGAATGTTCCACACTGTATCACTGCTCGTAACGAACTGAACTCTGTGATTCATGCGACTTATACACTCTATTCCAATCTTTTGAAGATAACATAATGTGTTCATAACGTGTTTTTATATTGTTGAATATTCTTATGTAATAAGAATATTATTATTTAATATTACAATATAATAATAATAGACACTTTTACAGACAGTTGACTCTCATACTTTTTTGTATTAAGGCACACTTGAACCAATAGTTAAACTTCTGTGACATACACTTATTATGTTTTAGACTTCATTGGAAAATAATTGTTTTAATTATCTTTTAAATTAAATAGTTCTCTCGCTTATTACTGATATTATCTCGCGAAATACTGATTGGTAAATATGATTTAATAGTCGGCAATGTTTAAAATTACTGACTTAATTTGAATTTCGTTGAGTGGCGAAAGTATTTGTAACGCGAAAATTGTAGAAATGTCGACAAAAAAAAGTATGGCATAAATAGGAATACATTTAAAATTTTGCATGTTTTTTTGGGAACATAACTTAATCGTAATATGTTTATATGTCAAAACTAGTTGTCAGCTTATTTACATTTGCTACCAACACTTACTTGTCCGTTTTACATAATAAAAATATTAATTAAATTATTAAAATTTTGAAAGGTAACTAATAAAGTATTGGTACAATTTTTGGTGATATCATCTGTTAGTAACAAGATGTTATTAGCAAATAAAGGGTTAACTATGATTTAGTGGTTGAGCACGATGTTGACAAGTACTAATTACGAGTATGTACATCATAAATGGTGGGTTTATAACCGGATTGAGACCGCATGGAAGGCGGGATCACCGTTGGTGGCCGAAACCCTGATGGTCGTGGTACCACGATGTTGCATGATGATGCACTGAGCAACAAATTGGGTTAGGTCAGGTTTAGGTATGGTCGTTCGTTGGGGAAAAGTTGTGCGAAGCGGTTCATTGGAAATTGTCCGGATGGATGTTTTGCATCGGATTCGGTTCGTTTTTCCAGCTAGATGAGGTGATGCTGAAGATATTTTTTCCGTTGAATCCAGCTGCGCTCGATGGTTGAGCATGGTGGAGACACGTTTAGGAATTGCACATGTAACGGACATACTACATATTGTTGCAATAAATTAAGTTACACGAAATGGCACGAAACGAAAAGAAAGGGGCAGATAACAAAAATATAAAATAAAATAAATAAATAAAATAATGTGTGTATATGCGAATGAATGTATGCGATATAGCAAACCGCGTGGGCGTGGGAAGGCTTCGGATGGTTAAGATGCCGCGGCGCGTTGGTAATAACAATAAAAATAATGAAGAATGTTGGTGGTTTGGCGATTTTATCAAGCTCTTCTTCTCCTTCTTGTTGCTCTTCTTGCAACGGTATACGAGCTATTCGTTCGTGAACGATGATGATGATGATGGCATTGTGCGAAGACGAAGAGCGGCGTTTCATTGTGGTCGCCGCGTCGAGACCGGGCAGTTTGCGCGCAACGTGTAGACGGGAAAACCGGGCGTATATTTTTTATTTTTTTTGTTTTCGTTTTATTTGATCTTTTTTTAAATTTCTTCTTTTGATTCTTGGAGGCCCGAAGTAAAAGTAGAACGTATTTGTATTGTGCAGTCCTGGATCGTTCGCAGACCGTTTGTGTAACTGTACAAAGACTCGAAAGATTATCGAAATTCGTATGTAAAATGCTGCAATTCACACACACTTGTTACTCACAACACACTGCACTGTTTCGACACTCATTGCCGCCTCCATCCATTCATATTCATAGTTTACACAATTTTTACCTATTAAAAATTTAATATTTTCAAATATATTTCATGCAATACATATTTATTAATAACTACATTGTTTTCTCTCACTCAGTTTATTATTTAATACGCAAATGAACATACGATTTTTTTATTCATTGTTATTCATGTGTAATTATGAATAAGCTCGTCAAGTAATTAATCGCAGCAAATTAGTAGGCCATTCGTTATTCCGTTTTCTTATGTTTATTACGACTACCTTGTACACGCACTACACGTGTAGTCTATATATAAATATTTAAGTCTCGATGTGACTCAAGTCAATAAAATACGTTGGTAACTGTAATACGAAAAGACAGAACTTAAGGTTACGATTAAACAACCTTAGAGCAAAAGCATAAAGTCTTTATTTCATTCAGTACTTTCTAAGTTTCACGCAGTTTTACTTGAACTATTGACATACTTTTTCATTTTTATTATTATTCATAAAAAATATATTTATTAAATTTAAAGTTATAAATCAATAATTATTATTATTTTAAATAAAACATAAGCTTTTTATGTAAATAATCAGTTACAGTCAGATCTCATGTTATTCAGACTTTGGTAGTAGAACATAATGCTTCATCCTTCTCCTACATTAAATCTGCATAATCATCACTTAGTCTGTGCACAATTTTGACAGTTTCTACTGAATATGCTGGATTTATTCTTACTGCCAGTAACATAAGATATAAATGTTAAACTGAAACGGAACAATTTAGTGCAATTTCATTGTATACATAGTAGTTACTGGACCTAAGAGATATGAAATGTGATTTGCTTTTAAGATAAATATAAATTATTTCCTGCATAATAAATAATAATTTAATCATTAATAATATAAATTAATAATAAATAAATGATAATGATCTTACAAAAGCTATCTATATTTATAAATCAATGCGAAAATCAAACTTTTATTTGAATCGCCTATGTCGAAATCAAAATCAAATAGTATCTCATTGTGGTTTATCGACATTCTATTATCCGTTCTAATGGCGATTTATCAATGCTAGAGTTAATGGGAAGTGACAGTGTTAATTTCGCGACACTCCATTGAAGTCGTTCGTTACTTGGAATGGGTAGGTTTGCATGTAGAAACCAATAAATATTGACTTACAAACAATGTTTGTGCGAACCGACGAAAACTAACCAGTTCTCTCGTTGGCTGTTCAGCTCCTTTTTTTTATTCTGTTCAGTATATCCTGTACTATTTATTAGTTGCCAGGACGACAACAATGACAGAGGCGGCGACGATGATAAATAAATCTCTTGGACTTGTTATTTGGTCTTATTTAGTCGGGTTCATGTTTGCAATCTCAAACGCGAGATTTATAAAATGTATGTGCATATATTAAGTGTGCAGAGCTCTTACGGTTTTTCATTTTATTTAATTTTCTGCTCGTTTTTTAATGCGATCTCTCTATCTTTCTTTCTCTGCGTGTATATGTGTGTGTATGTCTTTCAGGCAGAAATACATACATATATACAACCACCCAGAGTGGTTTCGTTATTTTATTTTAGTAAATATCTTTCATGAGAAAGAAACCGATCGCGATGTGTGGTCAATGCATGCTGTGGTGGTTCACTCCGATACTCACTCCCAAGAACTTTATCAAAGACCAAACGAAGGCCGAACCTGCCCCCAAGCATCAATGGGCCCGTGTGAGTGTCTTGTGTTGTGTATCGGATATCTCGGAATATCTCAATCCCATTGCGTTTCCAACTGTATGCTCTGCTCACTCACCCATTCAAGCGTTTTAAAATAAACACACATATACACATACACACTCACTTCGCTCTGCACTTGCTTAACCCATTACTTGTTCCAATCAGAAAAGCAAAACGGCTTTAAGTAGAATCTCCACAGTGCGTCTGCACGCAACTCACACGACTCAAATTTTGTTTTAGTTTTGTTTGTTTTCTTTTTGTTTTTCTTTTGTTCTTTTTTGTTTCATCGGTTCTAACCACCTTATTTACTACAACTACAACATAAAATGTATCTTAACTTTCACCGTGTATGATGTCATCTCTGGTACACTTGGTTCTAGAATAGAGACGAAACGCGCAGTTCTCATAGCCTACATTCCTGGGATTACATTAATCAGTAATTAGATTCTTTATAACACAGGGTATTCTATATAGAATGCAGGGAAATTTACTTAACCCACATTTTCAAAATATTTTTTACATTAATATGGATCACATTAACAAATATCTAATTTCTTGATTACCTGGAGTGGAAAAACAATCAATTGGGATTTAATTATATAAAACAAACAATGTAAGTGAGTGTCTTATAAATTGATATAATATAATACAGTGTAAATTGGTAATTAAATAATTATGTAACGTAATATATGTCCAAATATAAACAAACTTTAGTCATTTTAACAGGAAGTCTTATTCATATATACTAGTTAAGTAATATTAATTTGACCTTAATCTATATTTAGATAAATAAAAGATTTTCTTCTAACTGACCATCAATCACGAGGTTCTTTAGATGATCATGTGAATACACCATACTTACTTCTAAACAAATCATTTTCATTCTACTTTTTCAATTAAAAATAGATTTGAATTGCATACGGTGATCATTTCTTTTGCTGTATACACGGATATCAATGCATTTGCAACACACATCAATGTCTATTTCTAAACATAATTACATTATTTATATCTTGGGATAACGTATATCGCCTTAAAAGTGCATCCATTGCATCCAGAGAAACGAACAACTAGTGTAATATTTTTCAAATTCCAAAGTTGCGCAACGCGCCGCCATGGCAATATGCTTATTTAGCAAAGAGAGAAAGGAAAAATGTTCGTCTCGTAATTATTATTGTAATGGAGAAAGAGCAATTGCGTAATCCGTGATGTTTCTTCCTTCAGATGCGAACATTTGGTGGACTACAAATGATAGTCTGTAATAAAACGTGCATAAAATGATCTAATTTTTATAATTATCTATTTAATTAAAACAGTTAAATAAATTAAATGATATATTATTTTTTAAAAATACAGTTGTGACTGTTTCAAGCAGTACAAAAGAAGCAAATGTTTTTCTTTGATTGTATAACTGGATTAATTTCAGTTTTCTTAAGTATTTTGAAATTTCATGAAATCTTGTAATTAAATAAGTATATTTTATAACCAATATGGTACTTACATCACCCAAGGCAGTGATTTTCAGCAGGTGT